GGGACCGGGCGGCATACCCGATTCCACTGGGTCAGTATCACTTTCCTCTCTTTGCTGGCATCCATTACCAAGATATCTGCCAGCAGTGAAGTACATCACCGCGCATGCCTGATGACATCACACCACGCATGTCATATCGCATGTGTGGTGGCCACATCAAGTAACACCCAGCTAAATGTTTGGGCCTGAAGATTGACTGCATAGGTCCAAGCGCTGCATCTGGGGAGGCAAGAGAGAGAATCATATGATCACCCATTACGGCAAGCACCGGGTATTTCCTGGTGCCTACATGGCAGCATACCTATGGTTAATGCAAACATACGTTGTCATGTATAGGCACCAGGAAAGGAAAATGATGGTAAGTATTCAATTTTACGTTTTCCAAGGGTTCCAAAAGTTGAACAGAGCAGCTAGGGATCACAGCAAAGGGTGACCTTTCAAGAGTCTGTCACTTAACCCCAACCTCAGTGTCTGAAGATGCTGTCATGTAAATCCCATAGCTTCAGTGGAGACACTGAACTGGAACCAATATGCAGATCAGGAATGCTGACCTAATGAACAGTATGGCCTTCTTCTGGATCACTGACATCATATATTAAAGGAGAACTATGAGCTGAGTGCTTTTCACTCACCTCATAGTTCTAGCCGACCTGTGACAATGAGACTGTCCCAGGTCGGCTCAGTAGATCGGGAGGTGAGCGAACACATAGCGGCGTTCGCTCACCTCTCGATCCTGTCACGGCTCTCTGCCGTGACAGGGGCTGGATTTCCCCCTCCCCGCTCTGCCAGCGCTGACTGGCGGAACAGACGAGGGAGGGTACAGCTGGCTCTGCCTCTAAATAGGCAGAGCCAGCTGTCACTCACGCAGCTGGGCGGATCCAGACAGCATTGTCGGGATCCGCTTCAGCGTCTCAGAATTGCGCGAGCTGTAGCTCCCTATATACTGAGCCTAGGGTGACGGGAGGATGCTGGTTTGTGTCCTCCCGTTACCCTAAGGAGAACTATATGGAAAAGCCCTGACCCCATAGTTCTCCTTTAACTCAGATCTCCTGCTAAAATGTGTTGTTGTTGACCAACTGAAGAAAGTGTAGAACTTCTGGTATCGGGTCATCATGATGGAGATTATCTCCCTACTTCCTTTTTGTTTCTGGAGACAGAATGGAGGCAAAATCTTTTCAATGGAACCGCAAACGGTAACAAAAGACCTGTTACTGAAAATCTGAACCTCAGGGGGGGGCTGGAGGAATAGTCTGCAGGGGCCTGCGCATTGCACCCACAATCTAATGATCGAGGTTACAGCCTCCAATACAAAAACATTTGTTTAAATGTGCTTTTTTTTATTACACATTGCTGCAATTGTAATCTTTTTTTTACACACACACAAACATATATACACAATAAGATAAACAGATCTGCCCCC